CATCTGTGAGCTGAATCAGGACGATTGTGTGCCCGGCGCGTGCCACAACAATGGCAGCTGCATCGATCGCGTTGGCGGCTTCGAGTGCTCCTGTCCGCCCGGCTTTGTGGGCGCACGCTGCGAGGGCGACATCAACGAGTGCCTGAGCAATCCGTGCTCCAATGCCGGCACCCTGGACTGCGTGCAGCTGGTGAACAACTATCATTGCAATTGCCGGCCCGGCCACATGGGCCGCCACTGCGAGCACAAGGTGAACTTCTGTGCGCAGTCGCCGTGCCAGAATGGCGGCGTCTGCAGCACCAAGCAGAGCGGACACCACTGCGTCTGCGCCGATGGCTACTATGGCAAGAACTGTGAGTTTAGCGGGCAGGACTGCGACTCGAATCCGTGCCGCGCCGGCACCTGCATCATCGAGGACTCCGGCGGGTATCGGTGCGAGTGCAGCCGGGGTACGGCGGGCCAGCACTGCGAGATCGATACGCTGGACGAGTGCCAGTCGAATCCGTGCCTGCAGGGCGCCGCCTGTGACAATCTGCTGGGCGACTACGACTGCCTCTGTCCGAGCAAGTGGACGGGCAAGCGGTGCGAGATCTACGATGCCAGCTATGCGGGCTGGTCGGGCGGCAGCTCCGGCTCGATTAGCTCCGGCAGTGGCGGCAACGGCGCCGCCGGCATCTATGCGGCCGATCTGGAGCAACAGCGGGCGATGTGCGAGAAGCGCGGTTGTCCGGAGAAGCAGAGCAACGGCGTCTGCGACACCGAATGCAATACGTACGCCTGCAATTTCGATGGCAACGACTGCTCGCTGGGCATCAATCCGTGGGCGAACTGCACGGCGCCGGAGTGCTGGCGCGTCTTCATGGACGGCCAGTGCAACGAGGAGTGCAACAATGCGGCCTGCCTGTACGACGGACGCGACTGCGAGCAGAAGCTGAAGCGTTGTGCGGCCATCTACGATGTCTACTGCCAGAAGCACTACGGGGACGGAAAGTGCGACTACGGGTGTAATAATGCCGAGTGCAGCTGGGACGGACTGGACTGCGAGAAGTCGGAGCAGTCGGCGCAGCTGGCGGAGGGCGCCATGTCCGTGATCATGCTGATGGATATGCAACAGTTTGCCAAGGAGCAGCCGCAATTCCTGCGCGAGATGAGCCACATCCTGCGGACGACGGTGCGCGTAAAGAAGGACGCCCTCGGCAACGACATGATATTCAGCTGGAAGGGCGCATCCAGCATGCCGGACATACAGGACACGGAATTTGGGCGCAAGCACAAGATCCTGTACACGCAACGTAACGGCCAGACGGGCATCCAGATCTATCTGGAGATCGACAATCGCAAGTGCACCGAGTGCTTCAATCGGGCCCACGAGGCGGCCGAGTTCCTGGGCGCCTATGCCGCTAAGCATACGTTCAACAATCGCTATCCGATCTACAGTGTGCGCGGCGTGAAGAGTCCGGGCGAGAGCGAGGGACCCGAGTCGCCGGCGAACGTGAAGTTCGTCATCATGGGCATTGTCCTGGTGGTGATTGTGTTGGCCTTCTTCGGCATGCTGCTGGGCACCCAGCGGAAGCGGGCGCATGGCGTCACCTGGTTCCCGGAGGGCTTCCGGGCGCCGGCCGCAGCGGTCATGTCCCGGCGCCGTCGCGATCCCCACGGCCAGGAGATGCGGAATCTGAACAAACAGGTCGGCGGCCTCAACCAGGCCCAGGCCCATCAGCTGGGCGGCGTTGCCGGCGGCGGCAGCCACTGGTCGGACGACGAGTCGGATATGCCGCAGCCGAAGCGACAGCGCGGCGATCAGATGAACAGCGGCGGACTGGGCGGCCTCGGCGGCTTGGGCGGCCTGGGCGGCGGCAGTGTGGCGGGCCTGACCAGCGTGGGCTATGCCAGCGATCATACGATGACCAGCGAGTACGAGGATCCCGATCCGCGCGTCTGGTCGCAGGCGCATCTGGATGTGGCGGACGTGCGGGCGATTATGACGCCGCCGGCGCATCAGGATGGCAGCAAGCACGACGTCGATGCACGCGGTCCCTGCGGCCTGACGCCGCTGATGATAGCGGCGGTGCGCGGCGGCGGCATGGACAGCGGCGAGGACATCGAGAGCAACGAGGACAGCACCGCCCAGGTGATCTCTGATCTGTTGGCGCAGGGCGCCGAGCTGAACGCCACCATGGACAAGACGGGCGAGACGTCGCTGCATCTGGCCGCACGCTATGCGCGCGCCGATGCGGCCAAGCGGCTGCTCGACGCCGGTGCCGATGCCAATTGCCAGGATAATACGGGCCGGACGCCGCTGCATGCGGCCGTTGCGGCGGACGCGATGGGCGTCTTTCAGATTCTGTTGCGCAATCGGGCGACCAATTTGAATGCACGCATGCATGATGGTACCACACCGCTGATCCTGGCCGCCCGGCTGGCCATCGAGGGCATGGTCGAGGATCTGATTACGGCCGATGCGGACATCAATGCGGCCGACAATTCGGGCAAGACGGCGCTGCACTGGGCCGCCGCTGTCAACAATACGGAGGCGGTGAACATACTGCTGATGCATCACGCCAATCGGGATGCCCAGGATGACAAGGACGAGACGCCGCTGTTCCTGGCCGCCCGCGAGGGCAGCTACGAGGCGTGCAAGGCGCTGCTCGACAATTTCGCCAATCGCGAGATCACCGATCACATGGATCGCCTGCCCCGCGACGTGGCCAGCGAGCGGCTGCACCACGACATTGTCCGGCTGCTCGACGAGCATGTGCCGCGCTCGCCCCAGATGATCAGCATGACGCCCCAGGCGATGATCGGCTCACCGCCGCCGGGCCAGCAGCCGCAGCTGATCACACAGCCGACGGTGATCGCCGCCGGCGGCGCGGCCGGCAAGCAGAGCAGCCAGGCGGCCAAGCAGAAGGCGGCCAAGAAGGCCAAGCTGATCGAGGGCAATGGCGGCGACAGTGTGCTGGATGGGTCGGCGGCCGCTGGCGCTGGGGCTGTGGCCAACAACATGGGCAGTCTGCGACGCAAGGCGAGCTCAAAAAAGGCCAACAACAACAACAACAGCAACAACAACAGCAGCAACAACAACAACAACAACAACAATGGCAACAATGCTGCCTCAAAAAAGGCCATGAACGGTGCCCTGAATGCCGCCCAGCTGCTGACACAGGCGGCCAACAACAACAACAACAACAACAACAATTGCACAGACCTGGACACGTCGGTGACGGCAGCGGCAGCGGCGGCAGCAGCAGCAGCGGCAGCAGCGGCAGCGGCAGCAGCAGCCAATGCCAACGGCAACATCAACGTCAACGGGCAGCTGGTGAATCTGCCCAGTCCGTACGACACCAGCTCCATGTACTCGAATGCCATGGCAGCGCCGCCCAACAACGGCAACAACGGCGCCAAGCAACCGCCGAGCTATGAGGACTGCATCAAGGTGAGTTCATTGGACTGGAATGGGAGCCACGGGACTGCAGTGGTGAATCCTGATTGGGTTCAGGCAAAAGAGAGCGGGGTAGCATACATTAGGTACATACGGATTCCCTTCAGCCAGGCGATGAACAGAGGAACAACTTTAACCATGTCCGTTCGTCCGTATAGCAATCTTAGAATATAGTACAGCTAGGGAAGAGGAAGTTCGACTGATAGCATAAACTATATATATACTTGCTGAGAATCACTAGCCAAGCCTATTTAGCCAACCGTCCGTCTATCTGTCTATCCGGCCGTAATTCGATCTTCGAAATTGTGGGTGCTAAGGAAATTTATTTTTTAATTTCTTAATCTGGACGACTCAGCTGAGTTAATCAAGCCATGAAACAGTAACCATGGCTTGACAGAGCTCATCAAGCCTTGCTCTGGTCAAAAATCTATTTACATATCTATATAGTCTAGGAAAAAGACCTCATATAGTATGCATACATATGTATGTAATCTTGCTCAGATCAACGTATATACGTTCACGGGAACTTATAAGAGAGCTAGTGAAAAGAAGGCGTGGCAGACGTAGCTGTACTCTTGCTCAGGGCCACGAGCTGAGTCTATTTAAGCCCATACCTCTGTTTGTCTGTGCAGCTCTGTTCAATCCAATACAATTGTTCTAAAATTCCTCGAATTGAGGTTAAGCTGCACATATAAACAATATTTTCAGCAGTTTTAACTTTACCTAAAATGCCATATATAAAATAGAGCATCTAGATGATATGCTGAGCATTTCATTTAAATCGAACGAGTAAAACAAAAGTTATTAAAGAAGACGTCAACAAGTTCCATTGAGATTCAATGTTTGCGCTTTTTCCTTTCGCAGAACGCCCAGTCGATGCAGTCGCTGCCAGCGAACAGCCTGGACATGATCAAGCTGGACACGTACGGCTATTCGATGGGCTCGCCATTTCAGCAGGAGATGCTGAATAGCCAGGCGCTGGGCCTGAGCGGCGGTCGCAGCACGAACACGCTTTGCGGCCTGGGCAATGGGATGGCCAACGGTGGCCACGAGCAGGGCCTCAGTCCGCCCTATTCGAACCAATCGCCGCCGCACTCGGTGCAGAGCAGTCTGGCTCTATCGCCGCACGCCTATCTGGGTAAGTGGAGAGACGTTAATTGTTGGCTAGAGGAGCAACTGGGAACTGACGCTTCTTCTTTTTCTTCTTCTGCTTTAGGCTCACCCTCGCCGGCCAAGTCGCGGCCCAGCTTGCCCACATCGCCCACGCACATACAGGCGATGCGGCATGCCACGCAGCAGAAGCAGTTCGGCAGCAATCTGAACAGCCTGCTCGGCGGCGGCAATGGCAACGGCTCGCCCGTCAGTCTGGGCATCATCTCGCCAACGGGCAGCGATATGGGCATCATGCTGGCGCCTCAGTCCTCCAACAATGCTAAAAGCAGTGCAATAATGCAAACGTTGTCCCCGCAAATGCAGCAGCAGCAGCAGCAGCAACAGCAGCAGCAGCAGCAACAACAGCAGCAACAGCAGCAGCAGCAACAACAGCAGCAACAGCAGCAGCAACAGCAACAGCAGCAACAGCAACAACAACAGCAGCAACAACAGCAGCAACAAGCTCTTGGAGGCCTTGAGTTCGGTTCAGCCGGTTTGGACTTGAATGGATTTTGTGGATCTCCGGGTAAGTGTACAGCGCTATGTCAGCTCCTCCAGAAATTGCATAACTTATTCTCCCTCTCTCTCTCCGATCAGACTCATTTCACTCGGGTCAAATGAATCCGCCTTCGATACAAAGTTCAATGTCGGGCTCATCGCCGTCGACCAACATGTTGTCGCCCTCGTCGCAGCACAATCAGGCCTTCTATCAGTACCTAACGCCGCCGAGCCAGCATTCGGGCGGCCATACGCCGCAGCATCTCGTGCAGACACTGGACAGCTATCCGACACCGTCGCCGGAATCGCCCGGCCATTGGTCCTCCTCGTCGCCGCGCAGCAATTCGGATTGGTCCGAGGGCGTGCAGTCGCCGGCGGCCAACAATTTGTACATCTCTGGCGGCCATCAGGCCAACAAGGGCTCCGAGGCCATTTACATTTGACATAAGCGCAACTAGAAGGCAAAGGCGGACGTGGGCGTGGCCACTCAAAGTGCGCCAGGCAACGGGAAAGGGGCCCAGAACTCGCCCAAGACCTATTGGACTTTTCAGCGCATCCCGCAACCCGAGCACCTGCTCCTCACCTTTAATTCTATGAACAATTTTTTTTTTTTACCTAGCAACTAAGCTTTAATTTAAAATCAGAAATGAAACGAAAAAAAACACACACACATATAATTATTATTGTAGTAATTTAAATGTTTAATTTTAATATTTGTTGTACAGTGCGCGTTGAAATCATTGAATGCATATATACATATGTGTGTATGTATGTATATGTGTGTGCATATATGCATATAAATTTATATATATATTATTTAGATATTTTAGCATTTAAGCCAAGTTTGCAAAAGTTTTATTAAGCAACTATTTTTTTTTTTTTTTGTCAGCTAAAGTCGAAATAGAATTCAAGTTAAAATTGATAAAATATACAAAAATATATATATATATATTTAGTTATATATCTCGATAATATTTATTTGCAAACGTCGCTGCTTCCAGTAAACAATTTAAATTAGCGCAAATTATTTTTTATGCATTAAATTGTATTTTGTATTTTGTAATTGTATTTGTATAAGCGGCAAACGCTTTTAAGCATTGAGAACGGAAGAAAAACAAACGAAAATACGATTTAAAAAAAAAAAGACATAAAAAAATGAATAGTTTAATAGTTATTAGCATCGACTATGTTTAATTATTAAGTTTAAAAAAAAAAAGGAAAACTTTTTGCAACTGAAGTGCTTATATCAAAACAGGATTGTTAGCTATATATAGACAACAATACGAACGAAACATTCTGCAAAGCCTATATCATACATTTATCCATATATATATATATGAATATATATATTTACATTTTTTTAAATCAACACACACACACACACATTTTCTATGTAATGCTACATATAAATCCTAATCTTAAGTTTAAATTGTAAAAAGATTCTCATAATTGTTTCAATTAAGTTGACGACGCAACAAATGACAACATTTTCGCCTAAACAACCTATATATAGATATCGTTTATATATATCTGATAAACTATAAAATGCGCCAAGTTTTTTTTTTTATATATTTAGAGTTTAGGTAAACAAAAAATTCTAATAAAAAATAAAATGAAATGAAAACTTTAACGAGCAGCGAGTGAAATATTGAAATATTTTTCAAAAATATGACACAATTAAATTTTTTTTTTATGTTTTGTTTCTGTCAACTTAACTCAACTCAACTCAAATTTTCATCTTTATTAAATTTATTTAATTTTTATGTTTTTTTTTTCAATTTTTTTTCTGGTTTTGCTGCGCTATTATTTCTTAATCTTAATGTGTAAATTGTACAATTTTTTGTTGTCCAGCGAACGAAACATGCAAAATGCAAATGCGAATGCAAATGCTAATTTTTTTGACATAATAAATATAAAATAATTATTTTAAAAACAAATTGTATTTTATTTATTTTATAATTGGGTATAAGAGGAGACCTAGAGCCTCAGCCAGGAGAACTCTGAGGGATTTATTTCACAGAGTAATAAACGTCTACGAATCTATAAAGTATACGAAGTTTGTTCAGCAATCGATGGCAAGGTTTTCTGATGTCAGAGCTTGGAACTTCTTTTCGATTCGACTCTTGGTTTTCGTATCATCTTGTTATATACGAACCCATTGAAAATGTATTTTTCGTGTGGGGTCTTTTTTAAGGTAGGTTGTTGGGCATCTTCTAGTTGAGCCGGCTCGACCAAAACATTCTTACTTCCTTAACCCTAAGTAAATACAAATTTGGGATATGAGTTCCAGCCAGAATATACCAAAATTGTTATACACTCAGTTTATAAAGTACGCGGGTCGTAGCGCTGTGCTCTTCGCTAAAATGTCTGAATAGAAGAATTCGCCTCTATATTATATTACTATATTCTAAGACCTCAGCATTTATGGACGCTGAAGCGTAAGTTGTCTAACTATTTAGCAGATTTTACAATATTCCATAGGTCTAGAAATTTTAGGTAAAATATGCAGCTGTCAATTTCAACAGATTCGCGCAAATATGGTATAATTTAATATTTAATATTATATTTTAAGTATTTGCCCATTTTATTTATCCTGTGTCAAAAACAAAATCACTTTAGTGGAAATTTCATTAAAATGTAGATAAAAATTGCAAAAAAAAAAAACAAGTAAGAAGACTTTAATCGAGACTGCTCGACTAGGAGATATGATTTGTATTCATCATATGTATATACACAGTAAATCTGAAGTCTCCACGTCTAATAGTACTCCGATGAGGCTCAAAAAACAAAATCAATTTTTCGATTATTCTCGATAAAAAAGTTATCGGATTAGTTATCGAAAAAATAAATAAATAAAAAAAGTGGGACACTCAAAAATACATATATTTATTACTTTATATGGTACACTTTATTTTTAATAAATTTATGGTATACAAAAGTGTGGTGTTTTACATTCCTCATGTGGGAAGTATGTATATAACAATGAAAAGAAGATAATAATAATTTGGTAAAATTTATTTATTTAGTCGGCCACGTCAGACTTGGGAAATTTGAAATAAAAAGGCTCGCCAGCTTAGTTCATATTAATTTCGGCCACGTCAGACTTTAGTATCTTTATTTTTTCGCTGATACCATGAACTATACATACATACATATTTGTGTATATATACATATACATATGTACACTTAATCAAAAAAAATAAAAATAAAAATAATAATTCATATATATATAATTGCTTGTCTATCTATAATTCAACATAAATATAGCTTATTCAGCACAAAACATTTGGCTTTATTTAAATAAGAAAGTCAGAATGAATATATATTCCACATATTTTGCTACCATGAAACTTCCTGTCTACGATTCCTCTCGACCAGAATGCGGACAGTCAAGCTAGGGTAAAAAGCGAGTCAGGCCGTGGCGCTGCAGAGCACATCAAAATTCTAAAAACGCAGAGTATACAACTGTCAAAATTAAAAAATAAGAAATGTTGCCTCTTCAACGTTTAATAGAAATTGCAGCAACTGAAAACAACTTCATTTAGATACAGCTAGATATTTGGTTTTAGCTATAAACTTTATTATTAGCATATGGAAAAGTCTAATTAATAAATACGCTTAAATTATTTCTGTGTGTCTTTTACATTTTATTGTGTTTAGTTATATGCACGCGCATTGTAAATTAAGGGCGACAAATTGATCAAATTATTCTTTTTCAGATATCAATTCAACCAACAATCAATCAATTTATTTTTGTACGTTTGCATAATTGTAACGGTTTTTATGTATTATATGTGCTTAGAGTTTCATTATATGCGTACTTCTTATATATGTATAAGCAATGATTTTCCTTAAGTTCTTTATGTTGAATCCTTAAGTTCTAAATCCTTATCTATATATATCATGTACCATCGTGTGTGAATCAAAAGTGTGTGTCCGTATTGCATCATTAGGTTGATTTTTCAACAGCGTCTGAATCGAAAGTGTCCGTTCCGTATCTTCTTCTTTATATATACTATATATATACCAACGTATCTGAATCGATAGTGTGTTTAGTTTCTGTTTCAGGTTGCAGCAGCTTAGCCCAAATTGTGTTCCGTATCGAGTCTTCATGTGGAATGAGCACTGTGCTCAATATGTGTGCCAGCAGTGTGTAATCATATGTTCATATTCGTTACATGCGTACATACATACACACAATATGTAGACGGCATTGACACTCAAAGCAAAACAGGCAAAACAATGAAACAAAATGCATAAAAACAAAACCAATACCGTTTGAGTAACGAAATCAGAAACGCATATAACGGAAATTATATGCTTTTCTTGGATTCGATTTCAGTACTAGACGGCGATCGCTCCATTTCCGTTGTTGTGGCTGCTGTTGTTATTGTTGCTGTTTCTGTTGTAGAATTTGTGTTGGCTCCTGTTTCAGCTCCGCCTGCGATTCGATCTGGCTGCTTCTTGTCCCCGGGTACGAAGGGACAGACGCCGCCTTTGCACTCGAACGGGAATTCTGGCGCGGACTTGATTACGTTGCCCTGCGCATCTTTTTTCTCCCAGGGATTCCAATAGCGCAGCAAAATTGGCTGGACGAATTTGTGCCAGATGTAGAGCAGCAACGGAATGATGAAGCAGGGCACGCAAACCATTTTGCAGGAGCTATGATAATAATATATATATATATATGTTAATTAACTGGCGAAACGCGAAATTTCATGCAATTCACCTTAACAATAATCTAGTTGGTTCGGCTGAGTGTGCCCAGACGGTTTAAACAGGGCAACAAAGAAAAAACGCACTATAAACACGAGCGAAATGAGAAACAAAGCCCAAAAGTAAATTTGAAATAATTTAGAACTCATTTCTACCAAACTGCCAAAAAATATAAATTTGAAAAAAAACAAAGAAATAGAATTACACACACAAAAAACACAATTTATAAATTTTAACGTTTACGATTTTTTTTTAAATAAATTTATAGCTGTATCAGCTTCCAGACTCAAATCTGGACTGACCCCAAACCGCCCGAAGCGCCTATATATAGGCAAAAATTTTATCAACGCCTACTTTGATTCGTAAAAAATTTATTTTATTTGTACTTTTGTAATTCATTTTCATGAATAAAAGTAGGCTTTGCAAAGGACTTTATACTTGACAGTTTGCGTTTCAAAAAATACCACTTGCCTATCGATAGTAATTTTAGCACAAACTATCGATTAGATGCCGATATATAATCATATGTAAAAACAGTTTTCTGCTGCTTTCTTTGGTATCGTGAAATACTGTCAAGCAATTGGCGCCAATTATTTGTTGTCTTTATTGTTTTTTACAGTTGTCGCTGTGCCTGCTAAATGCTGGCAACTATCGCTGAAAGCAGCAAGCAATTGGCGCCAACTATCGATAGAAGTATTTTTTAAAATTGCATACTTTTTTTTTTGCATAATTTAAGACTTTATTGTTCACAGCGACAGATTATTTATTAAAAACAGTATTTTCTATTGTGTTTTATCAGCTCAGCCCAGCAAGGGGCAGCGATAGGGCTGCCCCTCCTTGCAGCAATATTCGCGCCCGGCCTGCAGATTCGTATTCACCCAGACATTCTGGCAATTCTTGATGAACAGATAAGCGCGCTCCTTGTGGCAATTGTGGCCTAATGCGGAGCATACGATGTTCGCCGAGTTGGGCAGATGCTGGACGATCTGCACGGGAGAGAGCGAGAGAGAGAGAGAGAGAGAGAGAGAGAGATATGGCGTTAACACTCTGCTATGCTTTGTGCTCTTCTGTTGGAACTCACCGTCTCAAGGCACTTGGTTTGACACTGCTTGCGTCCGATGGCATTGCACGGATACATGCGATCCATTTCGTTGTGGATGAGCGGCGTCTCCGGCAGCCCGTTCTTGATCTGCGAGGTGAGGAAGACCCCGCAGGTGCAGGGCACCGGCTGCTGCGGATCCGCTCCAGCTGGCGTTGGCGGCGAGGGCAGCGTGTTGTCGAGGCTGCCGGGCGTGCTGGTGGTGGAGCTGCTGCCCAGCTCGGACTCCTGTTGCAGTTCATCGTGCTCCAGCTCCTCCTGCTCTGGATGGGGCGTGCTGCTGCCGATGATGGAGGTGGCCGTGGAGGTGGCGAAGGGCTGGACGGAGGTGGTGGTGGTGCTGCTGCTGCCCGTGCTGCTCTCCAGCTGCTCCTCCTGTGGCAACGCCTTGGCTGTGCTGCTGTTGATAATGAACTCAACGGGCGCTGGCCAATCCGCCTCCTGGGTGGTGCCCAGCGTCGGGCTGCTCGTCGTGCGCTGCTTGACTCGTCGATCCTTGAAGTGGCTCAGCTTGCCATACAGCGGCTTCTTGTAGGCTATCTTGCTGGCATCCACCAGCTGCTGCCCCACCAGAAACGTCAGCGCCAACAGCAGCAGCGTCGCCCTCAAACCCTGATCACTAACTGCACAGAGCAAGGGACAAAGGAGAAAGGCGAGAGATCAGAGAGGAGAATGTGGAACTATGTGAAATCCAATGGCTATGCCCACTGTACTCACCCATCTTTGAATCTCAGTTGAGTTCTGTTTACTTTTGGTCATTCGCTCTCGCATTTTATGGAACTCGATTTGACGACGTTTGCAGTTTTCTTTGGCCCCAGCTCTTTGAAGTTCAAGTTTGGCAGCTGCGTTGACAGCTTTGTGGGGCTTTTTGGGTCAGGGCGATCGAAAGCTGCGTTGCATAATACCTAGAATCTGCGAAACTCTAGAAATGTTTCGGTTTTCATTGATGAGCGAACGAGTGAAGAAATCTTATAAGCTGCTCAAGGTCACGCAGAAGCGCATAGAAAGGCGTTCGCTACGAGAGTGCGAAAGAGAGCGCATGCATATAGGAGAATAATCTAAAATTGCACAAGTTCCATGATTGAGCGATGTTATGTTGAGAAGCGCACAGAAGGGCGTTAGCTACGTGGGTGCAAAAGAGAAGGCAAGGCTATAAGAGGCTGTGTAAGGAAAGTACATACATACATTTATTTGCAGAAATAATACACGAATTAAGCAATAGAAGTATGCAAAAAAAAATTTGACTTAAAAAGCATTGGTAATGCTATATATAATCATAAAATACTACATCTACAATTTTCATATAAAACGTACCAATATTTATATAAAACTACGCCTACTTAAATATTCGAAACAATAATAAAAATATATTTTCAATAATTCCATCATATAATTTATTTCATCCGTTTGTTTCATGAAAAATTTTCGTAAATAATCCCAAAAGAAATTGTCGATTTTTTAAACTTGGCGCGCAATGTCTTGCAAAATGCACGTTGCCAACCATTGCGAAGTACACATGCAGTATTAAGTGCACAGCAGGAAATCCCAAAAAGATACCAAAATAACGCTAGTATGTGTGTGTGACCGCACAAAGGAAAACACTAAATTGCCGGCACTGCTGAGTGTCTCCATTGTTATTATTGTTAATTGTTAATTGTTGTTGCTGGCAAATTAGACCAATTTAGGTGGCTGTAAAACAGAAAACGTTAAAAGAACAGCCAAGCTAATCAGAAACTACGAAATCTTATCGTAAATCCCAATCAGTAAGTAAGTGAGTGGCAATGCCGCAATACGTGCCAATAACGGGCTTCAAGCAGCTGGAGGATGCACTGAAGGTGCACGCGAAGAGCAACTGCCTCATCTATATGTATTTCTTTGGCGAGAAGGACAGCAAGGGTCGCAGCTGGTGTCCCGACTGTGTGGCAGGTGAGTGTCCCTACATATGGATACAATTGGTATTTTCAATTAAATGCATTTTTCCATCGCCAGTCGAGGATCTGGTGGAGACGGCATTCCGTGAATATGCGCATCCAAATTCCCTGATCTATACTGTGAATGTGGGCGATCGCGACGCCTGGAAGGATAAATCGCCGGCCAACAAATTTCGCCAGTCGCCGTTCAATCTGACCGTTATACCGGCGCTGCTGCGCTGGAACAACTCGGAGCGTTTGGATGGCGATCAGCTGCTGAAGCCCGAACTGCTGAAGCTCTTCTTCGACGAGGCAAAGTCGCAGAGCGCCACCGACAATACAATTCCATGCAAATAATAATAGTGAATAAGCCGCATAACTGTATTTGACCGCTAGCCAGCGAAGGTTGGCGCTCGTGTAGTTGTGTGTGTGCGTGTCTGTGTGTTTGTGTGCGCCGAGTGTGCGAATGCATGTGCGTGCGTGTGCATGAAAATAGAGAGAGAGAGGCAGAGAGAGAAAGAGAGGGTGAGACACAGAGAGAGAGAGAGAGAGAGAGCGCAATAAACACGCTATTGAGCGCAACTCAATGGCCAATGGCTAAACTCAACTCAACTTGAACTCAACTCAATTCGCTTGAGATCTCACTCAATTGTTGGGGGCTCGCTTAAAAGCGAGCAGCAGCCGCGGCAGCAGACAGCGCTAGCAGCCGCAACCTGGCCGCCTCGACATTGTCGGCGTTTTATTAGCACGCACGTCGTCGGGCAGGACGAATCGTATGGCGCGTCGTCAGTAGCAACAGCAGCGACAGCGACAGCAATAGCAACGGCAGCAGCAGCAGCAGCAACAGCAGCGGCAGCAGCAGCAGCAGCGGCATTGCCGACAGCGAGAACGGTAAACATTTAAGCGCTTGCTGTGCGTTCGTTGCTCGGTTTGGGTTTCAGTTACGGTTTCGGTTCCACTTCCATTCCGTTTCGTATTGTAAGTGACGCGTCGTAATGTTTACATGCTTACCGTTATTATCGCAGCGTTGTTGTGTGGAACGTGCGTGTGTTCGCGCTTCTACCACAAACAAATAATGTGCATAAAAACAAGCAACAGCCATTAAATATTAGCCAAATCAAATGTAGGTAACAAGGCAACAACACACACACACACACACACACACACACACACGCACGCTCATACAGACTGAAGCAATGGGGGCAGACCGAGAGTTAAGCTCTTGTGGCGTGCTGCAGCAGACCCCTTTAGACCCCTTAGACCCTTTAGCCCGCAGCCCAGGCAGTTTACATTGCCCTCAGGATGGAGGCGGGAGGCGTTGCGTGGACTAACTGTTGCGCCTAGCTCGTCCAAGTTCCAGTTCCTTTTGCTCTATTCGCCCGTTAGCCGAGATTCTTAGAGACTTTTAACATATTTGGATTATCTACATTCCAATAAACAAGATTCGTTCATTTGACAGCGTGGTGCTAATAAAAATCTGTCAAAAAAAAAAAAAAAAAGCCAGACATACATATGTACATGCATATATGTACATATATACATCTATAGGGAATATCTGAGCCAAGTGGGAAGCATAAATTCAATTGAATTAAATCGACAAATAGAGCTAAGCGATGACTTATGGAATCGTGCCGTGACGCCTCCCGAGTTGCCCTTGATAATGCTCTTGAGCGACCAGAAAATGGGCCACGAAACTCTAGATAACTCTTGCTGTTAACTAGTTTACCTAGATCATTTGCACAGCATATGTGTAATTATTGGATAAACACATACAAATTTGACAAGTCTGATGAAAGTGAATGCAAGACTCGGTTTTAATGAAAAGTGAGAAACTTCAAGCGAACTGGGCCTATATCAAAATATTGTAAAACGGGAAAGCATCGGAAATGCATACACCCATAGTTGGTAGAACACAAATTTTTTTTTTTTTTTTTCGGATTCTAGTGCTTTGAAAACGTCAGATGGGTAATATCCATACTGAATTCCATTTCCATAACTTATGAAATGAACAATTGGAGTACCTAAAGTTCAGATTGAGATTGTTGCTAAATAATATCGAAAATTTAGTTATCCGGAAAATTTTTACGTTAATAAATAAAAGGATTTGGGTAAATACAATATGAATTCCGAAGTCAAATTTTCTTCGTCAAAGTATCTATGAAAATAGGAAAAGTAATTATTTTTTTAAAGTAATGAATATTGAGCAATGCATAATGCGTAATGAATAATGAGCAATGAGTTCTGAACAATGAGTTATAAGTTATGAACAATGAGTAATGAATAATGAATAATATGCAATGAGTAATGAGCAATGAGCAATGAATAAGGGCTAATGAAGGAATAGTAATGAGTAATCAATAATGTGTAATGAGTAATAAATCATGAGTAAAGAATAATGAGTAATAAGTAATGAATAATGAGTAATAAGTAATGAATACTGATTAAAAAGTAATGAATAATGAGTAATAAGTAATAAATAATGAGTAATAAGAAATAAATAATGAATAATAAGTAATGAATAATGAATAATGAGTGACAAGTAATGAACAATGAGTAATAAGTAATGACTAATGAGTGACAAGTAATGAACAATGAGCAGCAAGTAATGAATAATGAGTAACATGTAATGAATACTGAGTCTAGTTCATTAGTAATGAGCCATAAATAATATTCATTAACCAATATTCATTAGTGCCGTTAATATTCTAATTTCTGAAAAACTCTTGTATTGATCTATTGCATTATTAATGACTGTGCATCCGTGGCCCACCCTTTATGAATAATGGCTAATAATTATGCCTTACAATATTGCTCTATAGCATAAATTTCATGCTTCCGCTTGCTGGGTATCTTTCGTTCATCATTCGTGCCAATGGAGTCGTGGGGTTACTGAATGCTCCGATAAGTTTTCCAATATCTTTTGATGTAACTTTCATGTAGAGCGCTCGCTCAGCTCTCGCCTCACCTTGCCATATTCTTGGCCAACAATTTGCACGGCCTACACACACACGCACACACACATGGACATAGCCATACACAAATTTGGATCCGTTAATAGTTGGACTCGCTGTCAACATTGCTTTCGCATTCCAATTTCTAGCCCCTGACATCTTTTTGGCGCATTTCAAAGATTCTAATATCGAAAATAAATACATATGTACATATATACATACATACATATACATATGTATATGAATATATATACTTATATCTATATCTGATGTCTATTCGCTGGCAATTTCTTAAGTTGTTGTTGCCTTCAATTTATTTATTAATTTATTTTCTCGCATTCGTTTGTCAATTAAAAACTAAAAATTCTTAATGAGCCCCACGTAACCGCAGCTCCCGAGTCCGGCCATCCATCCGATGATGGACTTTGGTGGAAATTGGACTGGCTATTGGATCTGAGTATTGGGGAAGGGTTGCGCCTTGCTTTCGTTTTCGCTTTCAGCTGCGATCGGGCCTGGGTGGCGAGGCTGGCTTTGTGCTGCTGGTGGGGGAAGGGGTCACAGTGGGGCGAATGGCTGCCAAAAGCAGCGAAATGTCGTTAAAGAAGCCAATAAAAATCTACAAAAAATTTGAGGAATAAATTAAATTAAAGATTTCAAAAATAGCGCAAACAACACTTGTGCTTTATACAGATGGGTTACTTATAACACACACACACACATGCACATATATGTATGTGTTTGTATGCTTGTTTGGTTATACATAGATGGCAATGATTATATGGATGCATAGATAGATTTGAGTGCCTCATATTGAATTTGCCATGATCGTTTCAATGGCTCAACATATTGTTGTTGTTGTTGTTGTTGTTGTTATACCCTAAGACCATTGAAAATGTGCGAATCAGGGCATAATGGTTCTGTGATCATGTTTGCAGCAGACAATGGGAGGCATGGCGAACCCATATATTCTTGATCAGTGCGAAAAACTGAGTCGATTCAAGCCCTTCCGCCCTTCTTAAGTAATGTTAATCCGGCTGTTCGTCTGTGTCGATCTTAGAAACTCTAGGAGCTAGGAGCTTGCATTCTTGACCCGTGTGGCGCACACACAGACATAGTTGGTTCGATAACTTCTATAAAATCGATAACTTTTATAGCTTCTGTAATATCGAGTACACCCTTACGCAAATCAGTTATTATAATATATCTTCTATATCTTTAGTGCTAGAGTCTCCAAAGTTTTCATATTAATCTATGTTTATTTTATAAAATTTTGATTTTTTTTTATATATCATATATATTATATATCCAAGTCCACCCTGAACTATTAAAGTTTTACAAATTTTATAGACTCTTGGAATTTCGGAATATCAGCTGTTCATAGGGCTTAGAGTATCTCATAGTCGAGCAGTCTCGACTCGAGCACGCTTACTTGTTGTTTTAGTTGTTGTTTTAAATCGCTCAACGCGTTGTTGATTAGCATCACACACACACACACACACACACACACACACACACATGCACAGAGTACATTCGTGCGCTTTATAGTGTCATCCAAAATCATAATTTATTAATAATTTCTGCACACACACACACACACACATGCACACCTAGTGGCACTCAGGTGTGGGTGTACGTATATAAGTATATATACATATATATACATATATTTATTCATTTATATGTGAATATATCTATATTCTAGCTGCGCGCCTTCTATATATTTCTACATATTTCTCACTAATTTTTTAAATTTAATTGACGCATTTAGTTCAGCAACAACAACAACAACAACAACAACAACAACAACAACAGCAAGCAGAGCATATTTAATGCATATATCAACAAAAATATGCCCCACACAGTCTCTGCCTCAGCCCCCCTCTCTCTCTCTCTCTCTCTCTCTCTCTCTCTCTCTCTCTCTCTCCTAACCATCTCTATTATAGCGACAAATTCCATTGCAAATCAAGGTTTTACACTCAGCGAAACTCTTTAAACTTGCAGCAGCTGTTGGCACTGCGATAAAGAAACCCAAAGACTAAAACCATATTGTTTCAGAGCGCAATGAGATGTACGGGAATGCGTGAGAAGCGCAGCGCATTAGTTGTCTATCTCGCTCTTGCATTGCTGGGCAATGTAATTGTAATTCCTATATACACTTTCGTTCTGTCTCTCGCTCCCTCTCTATCCACATTCGATATTCTCTCTCTCTTTCTCTCTCACTTTCTCTTTATGTCGATGCTTGTCTCTTTTACTTGCGCTCACTGACTTTCTCATTCTCTTTTTAGATGTCTTTACGTTGTCTCTTCTCTCTCTCTCTCTCTCTCTCTCTCTCTCTCTCTCTCTCTTATAGCATTCTGCTTTCGTTGCGTTGCGTTCTGATCTATTTCTCTTCCTCTCTTTCTATGAAATTCTCCTCCAACTCTCTTTTAATATGTCTCTATGTGTACTTTTCTCTCGCGCTCAGATTTTTTGTTTCTCTCTCTCTCTCTCACTGTCTCTCTCTTACTCTCAATTTCACCTTATTGATTGCATTCTCACTATCGGTCTCTCTCTCTCTCTCTCTCACACACACACTTTACTATCCCACTCCCGCTTTCCCCCTCTGTCTCTTTCACTCTCTCAGTGCCCCTCTCTCCCACACTCTCTTTTTACCTTCCTCAGTCTCCCTCTCTCTCTCTCTCTCTCTCTCTTTCTCTAAGTCTCTCTCTCTCCGCTAGTCCATAGCCAATACTTGATTAGTCTATAATCGATAATCGATTGTCAATAATCGATAATACAGCCAGTTAACAAAGTCAAATGGTACTAGTCCAAGATCGATAGTTTATAGTAGCCAATCATCGTTGTTATCAACAATTGATAGTCGATAAGCGGCAATCAATAACCGATAGACAATGCTAACCGATTACCAGTATCGAGTCCATTGACCGATCACACAATCGCAACTATCGACCTTCGATAGTTCCTAGTTGGTGGCCATCGATGGCCAATGTTTTCGATATTAACCACTGGGGCAGTCTGACAACTCTAATCGCATTTCTCACTCTCTCCACTAGCCGGGGGGACGGCCATCACGTTATCAGAGCCGCAAAACTTTGCGCTGTTTGGCTGCCGCTCTGATAAGACTCCAACCAGACGCACCGACAAATGCCGACAGCGCCAGCAACAACAACAAGCCAAACAAACAAATGAAGTCGACGTCGACGTCGACGCTCACGTTGCTGTCGCTAATGACGACACAGGCGGACGCTGGCGCCCATTTCGCCAAATAGCGCGCAGAGCGAAAATCGTTAACGGGAAAGGCAATAGCAGTGCAGCAGAGCTAGTGGCAGCGCAGCAGCAGCAGCAGCTACATACATACATACATACATATGTATGTCGACGTTGCGACGCGTTGTTATCGCAGTTATAGTTCGCAGTTGAGTTGCGACGGCGACGCAGTTGTCTTCCCTTCCACATTGCGATTGGATCGACTAGTGCCGGGCGGAGCGGGCGAAACGGGCGAAACGGTTCGGTTCGTTCGGTTCGTGCGGTTTGTTTGTTTTTGTTTGATTTTAGTGCTGATGGCTGTCGACGTCAGAGCTGTGATTGCTGCTGATGTTGTTGTTGGTGTTGTTGTTGTTGCTGTGACAACGTCGCAGTCGCTTCACTTTAATTGTAATTATAATAGTAACAAACAATAACAACAACAACAACAACAGCAACAACAACAGCAACATTTGACGAGCATCGATCAAATTCGTTTTGCCTAATCCATAAAGAATGTTGATGATCGTTGCGTGCCGTTGCCTAAAAGGCAGCACACACACATACACACACACACTCACACACACACATTCATATATATAGACACACAAATGCACTCAATATCAGAGCGTGATCAAGCAACAACGCGAGCAACAGATTGATCGCAAGCGAGCGCGGCGGCATCTGCGAAGCGCCCAGCAACAAGGGCGAAATAGTGGGAGGCATAATGAGAGGGAGAGAATGAAAGTGGAAGCGAGAAAGAGCGAGGCTGAGAGAGAGTGGTGTAGAGTGCAGGTAGCGGGCATGCGAGAGCAAGATTGCAGCTCCAATAACATGATTAGTTGAATGTAATTTAGTAGGGTATCTCAATTGCATCAAGCCATTCAATTGCAAGCGAATGCCTTACACTAAATAGAGCAGGTGTATTAGTTATTTGCAATTGAAGATGAGAAAGCTGATGCAATGATTTATATATTATGAATTGGAAACTGGAAAGAAAAATGTATATGTAAATAAATAAAGTTGCATAAAATATAGTATTTTTATTCATACATATATTTATTATTCATAATAAATAGAGGCAATCGAAAAAAGTTTATTTAAATAACTGTATGTACTACAACATATATATATGTATATTAATATAAATACATACATACATATGTAAATATATACATACATATATTTATTTTTTACTTGCAAATAAAAATTTTATATTGAATTAAACACGTTTTCTGTTACCTTTAAAGACAAACTAGTGCAAAGCAGAATAAATGTATATAATATTCATTCATAATCCCAAAAGAGTCGTTGATTTACTGAATACTTTTTTAAAGTTATCCTCAATTGAATATCTTTTTGAAATACTCGACTGCCCTGTAATTGTTGTATTCAAATGAAATTGTCATCGCAATAAGAAATCTTAAACTTTTTACTGAGTTTCGCAAATACTCAAATGAAATTCTCATTCCACTAAACATACTTGAAAGTGTTGACAGAAAATACATAGCTTGCTCAAGTTAGAAATTCTGGAATTCTCTAGAGCTTCTGCAAATCTTCTTATTACCTTCCTCTGAAAAATTAAATTCTCATATTCTAAAATAAATAATAGCGAAGAGTCGAATAAATCAAGTTAATATTAAAATGTAGATTTTTTAATATTAACTTGATTTATTCGACTCTTCGTTATTATTACAAAGTATTCTGAGTACTAAATTGAAATAACATGCAAAGATATACTTACATACATATATCTATACATATACACATACATATGCACGTATAAAGCTATGACCCAGCTGCCTCCTTCTATCCACAATATTCGCGCCTGCAGCGCATTTGGCAGTCAACCGAACTGAACACGAATTTGCATTCTCTAATGCAAGCGAACCGTTGATCATTCATTGGTGGCCGATGCGATGCGACGCCGACGCCGACGCTGACGCTCAACGCTCAATGCTCGTCGCTCGTCGCTTTGGTTCTGCGTGTTTCCCGCTATTGCATTGCGCTCGGTTCGGTTCGGTTCAGTTCGGTTCGGTTCGGCTCTGTTTTTCATTTCAATTTTATTATTTTGCGTGTGTGATTAAAATCGTGCTCGTGTGTGTGTGTGTGTGTGCCCAGCACATGTTCACATAAAGAATATAAATTCACACACACACTAATATACACATACATATATATTTTTTCTATATGTAATTGTACATGCTGTGTCTGCCTCTGATTCTGATTCAGTTGTCTCAATGGGTTTTCTATTTCCAATTCAGTTTCCAATTCGTGCGGCCCGGACCAGACCTGACCAGAGAGACCACACCAGTGGCTGATTCAGTTCAATTTGCCGCCGCGTTACGCTTCAGCGCTGCAACGGCCGCCAGTGATCGTAGCTCACATTTGGTCAGTTAGTGTGCTTGCTGCTCCTCCAGCCTCCCTTTGGCCCCTCTTCTCCCCCTCCGCTCATGACCGCTGCAAGCTATAGAAATGTTAGAGAAGCGCGCGCGATCGCTGATTGATTTTGATTGCGATTAACGATTTTCAGTCAAACTATCGCCCATGTGTGTGTGCGTACGTGCGTACGTGCGTGTGTGTATGTGTATGTGTGTGTGGCCTAGTCAGTGGCTGATAAGAGCGCATAAATTACGCTAAGTGAACGTTGATTGAAGAAAAAATACATATATATGTATGTATTAATAATACATATATATTTATGTTGTCATTTTTTACACTTTTTTTTCTGTGTGCGTGGTTAAAAAATATACAAAAAATACAAATACAAAATATAAAGAAGAGAAACGTAAAAAAGTTATCAGAAATCAATGCGATAAGCGGTTAAAGCGGGAACCGCCGCAGCAACAGCAACAGCAACAGCAACAACAGCAGCAACAACAGCAGCAGCAGTAGCAGCAGCAGTCGCTGATAAACAACGGTCGAGGTGAGTTAAAGCTTTGAGTTCAACTCAACCGAGTTGAGTTGAGTTATTCTTGGCACTGAGTTGAGTTTGAGTTGAGTTTGCTGAGGCGCCTGCGCCAGCTAACGGTGTGTTGATGACGTCGCCGCTAAGCCAAGCTGGGCAGGCAAAAGCGCAAAGAGAACAAATTGAGCGCAGCAACAACTACAACTACAATGAAAACAACAGCTAAAGCCGCAGCCACAGAGCACCACACACAGTTACAGCTCCTGTTACAGCAGCACACAGCAGCAGCAGCAGCAGCGGCGGCTGACAAAATAAACAACAAAACGAAACGTCTTACAGCGCCAGCAGCTCCCCAGCACCAGCGTCAGGCAGCGACATCGACTGCGACAGCGACAGAGGCAGAGGCAGCGGCTTCAAAGCATCCGCTCTGAAAATCAGTGCAGGCAACCGCAGCGTCGTCCTAGGCCATGTGCGGCTAACGTTGTTTTGTTGCCTTGGCTGCAGAAAAAGTTTAAAAACAAAAATTCAGCACAAATTCAAAATCAAAAAATTTCAAATATATCCACAATAAAAGCATTTAAGCAAATTCTGCTCAACGGACAGTTGTTGCTCTAGTTTTTTTTTTCAGTGTTTTGCATATATTTGTTGTTTTTTTTTCTGTTATTTTTTGTTGTTGTTTTAATCGTGTGCGTGTGCAAGAAAGAAAGAAATAGAAAACGCTGTTTTAAATTACGAGCGGGCGAAATTATGAAATGCTAATAAAATTCAAATGCGAAAAGCTGCAAAAAATAATTATTAACGTCTCTCAGAAGAGAAAATTAAAAATAAATAAATGAAAATAAAGTCATATTAAAAAAGAATATATAAGCGTATATATTTGAATAAAAAGCGGTGTGCAAAAAATCTAATACAACAACAACAGAATTTGTGGCTGATGATCATAATGAAGCAGCTGATGTTGCTGATTATCATGATGACGGTGCAGTGCAGCAGCAGCAGCAACAACAACGATAACATCAACAAGCAACGAAGCTAAGAGCGGCTCCTTATTGCAAAAGGTAAGTGACCTCCTTGTATACACAGTTACACCGTTGCCGTTACCGTTACACGATTACACCGTTACACCATTATACCAAATATAACAAGAACAATATCAACTCCTCGATGCCGAAAACATCAGTGTGGCAGCTATTAACGGTATCGAGCTACACTCTCGTCTTCTATTTTGTTGTTCTTGCCTTTCATTTTTCGCCACTCGAGCGGCAAACAACAACAATTCTATTGCATACGCAAAGGGGCCGGCAGCTGCTGTCCATTGAGCAACAACTACAACAACAGCTAAATACGAATTACAGCAAGCAAACGCAGTAAAAACAAAATACGAAAAAAACTGTCGGCAAACATTTTATTGAATTTTATTGTTGTTGTTGCTGTCGCTGCTGCCGCCTGGCAATGCAAGCTATGCGCCTGCGTTGAGCAGAAATCTAAAGCAAAGAGAGAGAGAGAGAGAGAGAGAATGAGAGACCGCTAGCCTGCGAGAGGGCGTGCAGCGAGTGTTGAGTCCAGTCTTGAGAATACACTAAGGCGCAGTTACAGTGGTTAAAAGTCCATTGTACCTCATATATTCCCAACGATCGATATTCAAAAATGCAGGCCTTCCAGAAAATATAATATCAATTCGAATATATGTATATCTAAATTCATGATACAAATATTTAAATTGGATATAAATTCTAAATTCTATAGTCAAATTTGTTTAAAAATAGAAAATCTCGCAGCAATATTCTATATACATATATGATATTTAAATTCACGACATCTAATGTCAGTCTATTTTCTAAATCATATCTGCAATAAGTTATTATAAAAAAAATGTTAAATATAGAAAAGTTTTATATGCAGTGGCAAATATATGTACACAATATATATAAAAAGTTTATATGCATATGAATAGTTATTATTTGTATATTATTAATATTTCAAATATATTCCAGTGTACCGCTTTTGTTGACTTATTTATTCCTTGGCTCCATTGCGCAGCTCAAAAATATACTTGAACCTTTCGTTCAGTAGAACAGTATTTTTCATTTAGTTGTAGATATACATATACAATTTATATATTAAAATATACATTTATTCATATTTTAATTTTCATACATATAAATAAAATATCACTTCATTTCACCATGTTTTAGTGCTGTTTTAGGTCACTGTCACTGGTAGGAAGTAGGGAATAGCACAAACACAGTTATTACTTGCGTTACACTCTCAGCTAGCACGTGAGTCCAAGCAGCTGTAACTGTTACGCACTCACTCAAAGGCACTTACGCTCTCGCTCTCCCTCTCTCAGTTTCGTTCTCTTCTCACTTCTTTTGAGTTGAGCTCATAGTTTGAGCAACTGTTTCGGAATTGAGCGCATTTTGTGCAGACTTTTGGCCGCTGCTGCTGAGGGCAAGGCTCAGCCTGTTACATGTTACATGCCAAGCCACCCATTTTTTACACACACACACACACGTTAGCATACACATAAGCAGCCCGGCATCTTTTCCTGTGCGCGTCTTCGTTACTTTATATTTTTTTTTTTTTCGCTTACTTTATGGCCGCGTTTTACGATGCCTTTGCCAGTCATTGTCGTTTTGCTTTCCACTTTCGTTCTTTTCGGCTTGGCTTGGTTTAGCTTTCCTTGTGCCTTTTTTATGCCGCTCTGCGTATTTGTTGCCTTTCGCCGAAAACATGTTGTTGTTGTTGTTGCTGCTGTTGTTCTTCGGCAGTTTTGTCTTGAGCAATAACACCCGGTCCTCCATTCTCCCTCCATCCGCCCCACTAATAACAATCGCATATAAAGCGCAGCAACAACAACAAATTGCCGCCATTAATTGTAATCAACTGCGTTACCTGACGACAAACATGTTTCTGCATGTCGGGCTGCGTGCTCTTCTTCAGATTCTACTTCTTCTACTTCTTCATCTTCTTCGCCCTCTTTGTACTAACAATATTTGTTCTGATTACATTTGATTGCAACTAGTTGTAGCCGAAGAAGTACTTAGCCATAATTGAGATGGAATGTCTTCAGAGCAAACTCAATTATGGAAACTATCGAAATAATTGTTTTAGCTGTTATTGCTACATATCATAATGCGTGCAGCAAACTTGATCAAAATAATAGTAAAATTCACTAGGAAGGAGATACCATTCGGTATTAAACTCTATAGATACATATAAGGAGGTTTCATGATAAATATAATATATGTACATACATATGTATGTATGTATGTATATATTTACATAGGTAAAAGTACACCTTTACTTTCACTCCCCAATCTTAACTACTCCATTAGCAACTTCTTCTGCTGCATGTCAGCTAGATTTATACCTTTGTTTCAGCCTGTTTCATTGCAATTTATGAGTTTTTCCCTTTCTTATTCTTATTTTTATTTATTTATTTATTTTTTGTTGTTGAGTTTTTGAGTTTCGTAAATGTTCGATATGAACGTAACGCGGAAACAGAGAAGTTTTAACTTACAGCCGTGGCAGGAAAACTCATGAGAACTCATGAGCGCAAGAAGCAGAGCGAGAGAGAGAGAGATAGAGAGAGAGAGAGACAGAGAGAGAGAGAGAGGAGAAATGTGCTCCTTACTTCTTACTAAATACATTGTTCTTAAGCGAAAAGAGAGTATATTTGTTTGACCTATTCATAAAATAGGGCCATTTATTATAATATAATACATTTACACTATTCGGGTGACCGTATTTCGATTATTTATATATGTATGCATTTACATATATAATGTCATACATTTTGTCTAAAATTAGTATATAATTCGATGGACCGCTAAATTAATATCTATTTCTGATTTGTTTTCCTAGCTTGTTTCTACCGTTAATCGGTTATGATTGAGTTTGGGTTGGTAAGGTTTTGAACGGTAGAGTGAGGAAAGCAGTTTATGGAGACTTATCGATTTATCGATATATCGCTCTATAGATAAACTTAAGTGAGACATTGATTACATAATTTTAGTCAAAATATATCAAGCTATGTAAATAAGCTCTCAATTAAATTTACCTATATATCGATAGTCGATAAATCGGTAAGTTTCCTTTGGATACTTTCCAGCTTCTTTTATATGTAATTTGCCTATGAGCAAACAACAAACGTATTGTTTGAATATAGAGTGACCATATTTTTATATTCAGCCAAGTCTATCTATTATTCGATAAACCAAAAAAATCGGTAAATCTCTTTAAATGGCTTTCTTAACGCTTCGGCATCGACTTCTAACGCGTATTGAGCCATCGCTTATGCCCATTCGTAATACATTTTCTTTTCCTCACTTTACTTTTCTTTAATTCTTGTTCCTCTGCTTCTTTTTTGTTTGTTTCAACAAAGTTATTATTGCTTTAATTTCGTGAGTCAGTTGAGTTGAATGCGTGGCAAAGTTTGTTTTTAGGGGTCGTCCTGATTTGTCCTCACTCGATGCCGGTTCCTCCTCCTCATCGTCTCCTCATCGTCTCCTCATCGTCCTCTGCTCTCGCTCGTTGTTTTTCTTCACTTTTATTTCATTATTTTCTTCTTCTTCTTGTTTCTGTTGCTTTTGCCGCCTGTTTTCTTGTGATGCCTTAAATTAAAAAGTTGTTGCGCGTTGTTTGGCACCGGAAAAGTTGCCGTTTTGCATTAGAGAGTGCCAAGGCGAGCGGCGTCAGCAAACGTTGACAACAGCAGCAGCAGGACAGCAATAGCAACAACAACAACAACAGCAACTACAGCAACAGCAACTACAACAACATATGTGAACTGGCAAATCTGTGAAATACTCGATTTTTACGCCTCTGCTCCTCACTCACTCTCTCTCTCGCTCCCTCTCTCTCTCTCTCCCTCTCTCTCTCTCCCTCTCTCTCTCTCCCTCTCTCTCTCTCTCTCTCCCTCCCTCTCTCTTACTCTTTCACATCCATCCGCTCTCACCCTGTCTGTTTTATTTAGTTGGTTGCTGTTGCCCCTTCAAGTTTAATATGTTCCCCAAGGGCCTCATTAGTGGCGCCCCCTGCCAGCCAGTAGCGGCAGCTACAGCTGCCACCTAATATAAAACATTTGCTGTGCACTATTTGGCTCCGTTGGCCTGGTTTTCTGTTTCCAAAAGAAAGCAAAAAAAAAAAAAAAAACTGTTGTCAGAATTGGGATTAAGGTTTCATCCAAAACTTGAAGTGTTGGGTCTAATGAGCATTATTATTATTATTATTATGATCATTGCTACCATTATTATGTTGAGCAAATTTTGTCAACATTTGTTTAACAAATTGCGCGCTAATTTTAGGCAAATTTATTCAAGTATTTTTTTGGTATTTTTCTAAAACAAGATTTATGTGTTTTATTATAATTTATTTATTAATTTTTTTCATTTGGTTGCATTAATTAAAATGCACGACAAATCATCAGCCAGAATTGGCAGAAGAAGCAGCAGATAATTGTAAATTGTGATAAGGTATTCAGAATCTGGGCTTTAACACGTTTTCCCATCACGTCTCGTGTTGCGACAAAAGACAAACAACAACAACGAAGATGGGGGCAACAACGTAAAGTCAAAGTTTGCGAGTGGCCTAAAGTAATATTAATGGGCATGGCAGTTCATTGTTTAAATTACCGCCCCCTTATGCGTAGCATAAACAGCCCACCCACACGCGTACTGCTCCATCTGCAGCAGCCCCACCCCCCAAAGCGCTCAAACCCCAAAGCCCAAACCCCAATATGCCAGCCTCGCCCACACCGCCCACACTGCCCGAGTGTTGGTTGTCTTGGCTTATTAGGTTGAG